GCCTGGAATTAAAGGTTCTGCCGGCGAAATCACTACGCGTGTTGACACCATTCCCACGGTAACCTCGATAGAATCCACGGCCCGTTGACCTGCCTCCTCTGTGAGTTGGGTTACCCCGTGTGGGTTGTGATGGTGATGGCCGAACAGACAAAGTTGACGACTCTGTGAGTTGGGTTACCCCGTGTGGGATGTGATGGCAGAACAGACAAAGTTGACGACTCTGTGAGTTGGGTTACCCCGTGTGGGATGTGATGGCCGAACAGACAAAGTTGACGACTCTGTGAGTTGGGTTACCCTGTGTGGGATGTGATGGCCGAACAGACAAAGTTGACGACTCTGCCGCGACTCCAATGTTGTGTAATGCACTGTCCGAAAATGTTGATGAATTATTTTCAAATTGTCTGAAGATTCTAGCCGTTTCCTGATCAAAAGTCGATGTCACCACCAAATCTGTATATTATTCTTGTTGAAGAAAATTTATTTGGGCTGCCACACACGTAAATAAGCAATTCAATGCACCTTCTGAAACATTTGGGCCATTGCTAGTGACCGGAATCTGATGTAGGATTTTAATGGAAGTTTCTGAGTATCTGGCACATTTTGACAATACTTTCAATGATTGTTTACAGTCCTGCTTTATTCCCACTGCGCTATCTCTCACTTTGTAATTATCAGGAACAGGAGTACGTCGAAGAGTTTCTTTGATTCGTTCGAAATCTCTCTGAATATCAGCTGCAGTAGACGAAGAAGTCGTCACACTGGGACTGGTAGTAGTAGTGAGATCGCTATTCGACCTGTCGTGGTCTGATGTGTCATTCGCTAGATCCGCGTTTACATCTTGAGCAGGAGACTTACTTTCTTGTTTCTCAAGGTTATCAATGGGTTCATTGATTTTATCAAATTGTAATTGAAAACTAGATAACTGATTGAGTATCTTAGAATTGTCTTCCTTCTCAGCCATTGGCAATAAGGGTAGAATAGATCTATACCAGACTCTGTAAAATTTACTAGATCTAGATCTACATGTTTATTTCATACTTGGTCTTGTGGGTATCACACAGCAAACCAGGGCCAGGCCGGCTGGTAAGCTTAGAATAGATCTAGATCTAGATTCTAGATAGTCAAGTATTTTGAAAATTCAAAACGTCTTAGATCTACTTATCACTCTAATGTTAAATCAACACTGGTGTATAAACTGTCCGGTTGGAATGATAAATCTAGGTTTCGTTCAAGTTTTACCGATGAAACAACTCAAATTGTATGAAGTAAACATCTGGGATTCATAATGGCGGCCGCTTTGTGAAGGTGCACAATAGCAAAGACGGCGTGGAACGTTATTAATAAATAACGCTCCGCCAAAAATATAGTGCACATCAGGTAACAAAAAGTAACACACTCAAATTAGTCTCTTCTGAGAAAAACTGGTGCAGTTGTCCTCTTCCGTACAGCATAAATCTTTAAATAATTTTTCATTTCTACAGAGAACAAGCCCTAAAAGTTCTCCTTATTTGTTCACTCGACACAGAGGCTTACAATTTCCCATCATTTCACAACTAAACCCTTAAAATCTTCATTCTTTGGAGAAAAAACTTACAATTTTTCTTACTCACACAACAAAAACACTAACAATATTTTCTCTCCTTACACAGCGAAAAACCCTAAGATCTACTTTTTTTAACATAAAAAATTAAAATTTTTCGCTGCATACAATAAACACTTACCATTTCCTCCTTAAACAGCAATGACCTGCTCAATTTTTTTTTCTTCCCAAAAACGTTTCCCCTCTGAACACAACAAAGCACCTACAATTTCCCTCTCTACACAACATAAACACTCACAATTTCCCTCTCTACACAATATAAACACTCACAATTTCCCTCTCTACACAACATAAACACTCACAATTTCCCTCTCTACACAATATAAACACTCACAATTTCCCTCTCTACACAACATAAACACTCACAATTTCCCTCTCTACACAACATAAACACTCACAATTTGCCCTCTCTACAAATCCAAAATATTTTCATTATAATACTTACAATTTTCTCTCTTTATACAGTATTAAATCTTTCCACTTTCCTTGTCTATATAAACATATACCCCTACAATTTCCCCTCAACACGAATATAACGGCACACCATTCCCTCTTCTCTACAGGAACGGGTGTCCTGGGAGGTGGAGACAGGCTTCGTCTGGTATCGGCTCCACTCAACTTCACCTTGGTTCTTTCGAAAACGGACACCAGAAAGCTGTCTGGATTTTACTTTTATCACACTTTATTCAACTTAGAATCATAGTTCTTCTCTTTCAGCTAATTTGAAAAAAAGAAGAAAAAAGCAATACTCTTTTTCAAGTCAACACCGGCTGGACAATAAATACGAGGGTGAAGATGGAAGGCAAAGACGCCATTCTTCACCACCACAGAGGTAAAAGAAAGATAACTCACATGGCTTGGGCAGTCATGTTTATTTTCGCAGCTATTCCCCTTTGCTCTGGTCACGGTCGCCTTCTTGACCCACCGTCAAGGGCGACAATGTGGCGGCTCGGGTTCGATTCTCCTCCGGACTACGACGATCACCAGGGCTACTGCGGAGGCAAAGATGTGAGTATAACGCAGACAGACAAGTAGGTGGACAGACAGGTGGGCAAACATAGACTACTGGCAGGGAGACAAATAGACAATGTTAACGGCATTGCGTAGGTTTAGGATTTTGAATATATCGTCCTAAACGGCTTGCTAACGACTTCAGAAAGCCTACGAAACTTCTTCAGTCTCTCTCTCTCTCTCTCTCTCTCTCTCTCTCTCTCTCTCTCTCTCTCTCTCTCTCTCTCTCTC